CCTGGGCTCTGACCCGGTGGTGGGGTTTGAGCAGTGCTTCTCTGCCCTTCCATGGAAAGTGGAACCAGAAATGGTGCCAAGGCTGTGGCTGTTCCCTTTCGTGTAAAATGGTGCTGTTATTACTCTGTCTTGAAATAGGAAGGTGGGATTTCTGGGGAGGCTGGTGAAGGAGGGCAGGGTTCTTTTCCCTACGTGTCATGTTAAAATTGCCAAATAAAGTACTTCTGCCTGTGGTATTTTCTGGATGTCCTTTATTTACTGAGACGTGTGCTTGGGTGCCTTGTTTAGGGGTAGAGGTGAAGTCTGAGCTTTGCCTCTTCAGAGAGGAAAGGGGTTAGAGGTTCACCAGACCACTCTCCCTGTGGAGTGGTACGGGTGTACGTCATCTCCTAAACCATGGAATTTCTGTTAGGGCCTGAAAAAGCAAAAGCCTAGTATTGTTCAATTTGTGTTGGAATGAAAGTAAGAGACAAGTGTCTTAGAAACCTGTCACTGTTTTGTGAGGGCCTTTAAATATCCTGCACTCGTGGGCCATGTTGGGCCTTTGTACGCCCATGTACACAGGAGCTTGTGTGCACCTATACCCTGGTACAGATATACCTGGTAGGGGGAGGTGCTGAGGCACTGGAATGAGGGGTTAACAGGGAAGGACAAGGTTATTTCTGGGCCAAGATTCAGAGATTCCCCTGGAGACCCAGGTGTCCGGGGCGCCCCCACAACACTGGGCCTGAGGCCAGTTGCATTTCTTGGCTGTCACGTGGTTTCCCAGCTTAGCTGGGCTGGGGGAGGAGCAAGGTCCAGAGTCAACTCTGCCCCAAGCCCTAGCTTGGCCAGAAGGTAGCAGACAGACAGACGGATCTAACCCCTCTTGCATCCTCCAGCCATGAGGCTCCTCTGGGGGCTGATCTGGGCATCCAGCTTCTTCACCTTGTCTCTGCAGAAGCCCAGGTCCTGGAGGCGGGATGCTGGGTGCTTGGATTGGGGCAGGGCTGGCAACAGGACCCGATTCAGGAGTGAGGGAGAGCAGGGTTGGAGGGTCAGAGCCAAGTCTGACTGCTGATCCTGTCTGTTCTCCCCAGGTTGCTCTTGTTCTCTCCTTCTGTGGTTCATCTGGGGGTCCCCCTGTCGGTGGGGGTGCAGCTCCAGGATGTGCCCCGAGGACAGGTAGTGAAAGGATCAGTGTTCCTGCGAAACCCATCTCATAATAATGTCCCCTGCTCCCCAAAGGTGGACTTCACCCTTAGCTCAGACAGAGACTTCGCACTCCTCAGTCTCCAGGTAACTAGACCCCACGCCCTCCTGCTGCTTGTGGGGCTCCCGCCCTGTTCCCCTCTGTCCTGTAAGTGTCTTCATCTTCCCACCGGCCTCCTCCCCTCCTGTCTTCCCACCCTCACATTCTCCTTCTATGTTTCTCCCTCTCTATGTTGTCCTTTTTGGCCAGCTCTCTCTTGCTCTGTGACCGGCTCTGTCTCCCTCTCCTCACAGGTGCCCTTGAAAGATGTGAAGAGCTGTGGCCTCCATCAACTCCTCAGACGCCCTGAGGTCCAGCTGGTGGCCCAGTCGCCATGGCTAAAGGACTCTCTGTCCAGAAAGACAAACATCCAGGGTGTCAACCTGCTCTTCTCCTCTCGCCGGGGGCACCTCTTTTTGCAGACGGACCAGCCCATTTACAACCCTGGCCAGCGGGGTGAGTCTCAGCCCCAGGGCCTCAACATTGAACCCCCTCCAAGCCCTGTCAGGATGAGTTTGGTGCCCCCTAAGTGAGATAACCTGAAAGAAAGTGCCACATGGGAGGGCTGCTTAGGAAATATTTGTCCCCCACTCCCTGTGTGGAGTTGGACCCACTCTCCCCTTGCACATGGATCCCTGCTCACCTCTCTCCCCCTCCTCTCCCAGTTCGGTACCGGGTCTTTGCTCTGGATCAAAAGATGCGCCCGAGCACTGACGCCATCACAGTCACGGTGGAGGTGAGTCCCCGACCTCTGGCCTTCCTGATCCTGGCCACTGATGCGACCTCCTGCCTGTGACCACTTCTCCCCTTGCAGAACTCTCACGGCCTCCGCATGCGGAAGAAGGACGTGTACCTGCCCTCGTCCATCTTCCAGGATGACTTTGTGATCCCAGACATCTCAGAGTGAGCTCTCCCAATGTGGGGGCTGTCCCCAAGCTACACCACCCCAATTCCTGTTAGGCTCTCCACCTCCCACGCAGAGGCACGTCCCGGGATGCCCTGGCCCTCAGCCTCCTGAGCCTCTGGTTAACCCCCACAGTCCTCTACCCAGGGAAGCAGGCCTCTGGCTCTCCGTGCCCCACTGCACAGATGGGCTGAGTCCCTTCCTTGTCCGTTCTCAGGCCAGGGACCTGGAAGATCTCAGCCCGATTCTCAGATGGCCTGGAATCCAACCGCAGCACCCAGTTTGAGGTGAAGAAATACGGTGAGAGCTGGAAACTGGAGGGACAGGCAACTGCTTTCCTGAAGGAAATAAGGGTGGGAGGAAACATAGTGGGTGCAGCTCAGGGCAGGGGGATATGGGTGCCACAGCCCTGGGTGGAGGGGAGTCTTTGAGCTAGAGTCTGACCTGCCTATCCCTTCACCCTGAGTCAGTCCTTCCCAACTTTGAGGTGAAGATCACCCCTGGAAAGCCCTACATCCTGACGGTGCCAGGCCATCTTGATGAAATCCAGTTAGACATCCAGGCCAGGTATTACCTCCCTCCCCACCTCTGCCCGCCAGCACTGGGTCCTGCTCCCTACTCAGTATGAATGGGCTCCTGCTTCCCCGCCCTCAGGCCATTATTCCCCCCAGCCCTTGGCCCACCCTCTTCTCTCTGTCACGACAGGTACATCTACAGGAAGCCAGTGCAGGGGGTGGCGTATGTGCGCTTTGGGCTCCTAGATGAGGATGGTAAGAAGACTTTCCTTCGGGGGCTGGAGAGTCAGACCAAGGTAGGAAGGAGGATAGGGACTGGGGAGGGGAAGGGGCAAGGGAGGTGAGATTCAGTCACCATCATATGTCCTGTTTCTTTCTATGCCCCAGCTGGTGAATGGACAGAGCCACATTTCCCTCTCAAAGGCAGAGTTCCAGGATGCCCTGGGGAAGCTGAATATGGGCATGACTGACCTCCTGGGGCTACGCCTCTACGTTGCTGCAGCCATCATTGAGTCTCCAGGTGGGTGACTTTCCCTTATTGTAACCCCAGACCTCGCCTCTGACCTCTGAGCTAACCCTCTGTCCTCCAGCACCAACACCAACACCACGCCACTTCTCCCACCTTGTCTCAGACTCAAAACCAGGAAACACCCAGGAGACCTGGTCTCTCTCCAACCCTGTCTCTGTGACTCGGCCCTTTTCCCTGGCTCAGTTTATTTATTTATTTGCTTGTTCTGCTATTCATTCACTCCTCCAGTGGACATGTGTTGTTCAATGTCCTGTGCTGGGCCTCAGCATGCACAGACACGTTGGGGATGAGCCTCAACACCGCCCGTAGGGTACCTGAAGTCTGGTGGTGACAAAGGAATGAGAAGATAACAGGTTAAGAGTTCACAAAGAGTGGGGGCCAGGGGGCCAGTTGCAAAATGGAGGCTGCAAAAGGCCCAGAGCTCTGGTCTCCACACTATTTATTGAGTACAATCACTTAGATCTAAGAAGCAGATGTTCAGGGCGAAACAGTGAAAGGGTGGCAGTGCATTATAGGCGTAATGTATAGCAATAGAGGTGTAAATGAATCTCTTTTGTGCTCAAACAGCATGTCTTTAACCTATCGGAGAGTAGCTAGTGGATGTGGGCTTAACTAGGAGCCTGCACATCTGTCCACATTCCAATGCTTCAAAGGAGGGTCTTTCTCCTTGAACACAGTGTTTACAGATAAGAGAGCGCGTCTCACTCAGAGCATGGGAACATGATGGCAATTAGGAGACTTTTCTCCTCAGAGGCCTGTTGTGGCTTTCCACAACTTATTTTCCTATATTTTTATGGCCAGTTTATACAGGCACCCCACAAGTCCTTTTCCCAACATGCACCCCCCCTTTTTTTTTTAAACCACTATTGCTGTTATGGCCTATTTGTGGTGTTTGGTCTGTTTTCAGAAGCGTCTTTTGCATCTGTAGACTAAAAGTAAACAGTATAAACAGATACACATTGAAGTAAAATTTGCAATAGTTGATCCTTTAATGGTCTTAATCCATTTAAGAGGATTTCCGTTTGAAAGTCTATCAGTAGGTCCAGTGAGAATGTCAGTCTCAGGCAGGAGAGTTAGATGAGCCTGAGATGCTTTAAAAACCTGTTTTTTGAAAATTTGGTTATATTTAATGTTGAAGTTTTATTTCTTTCTTTTAGAGTATGTCTAACTATTTTTAAATGATGTTTAGTAGTATTATACAAACGGGGAGTTATGTAGAAATTAGAAGTATTTCAATTACATTGTATTTGTAATTGATGTTTCAAGTTTATTGTACAATCTTCCGTTTAAATAACAGTCTGTCTGAGATCATTTGTTTGATTTGTAAGTTGTTGGTCTGTTTGGGTCTGAGAATTCCACAATTTTGAGGAATTTTTTTGTTAACTATTTACGTATTTTGTAGTTTGAACAGAGGAGTGTAAAGCAATTCCAGCAGCCGCAGCAGTAGCTGTGACTGCAAGAAGGCCCATAATGACTGTTATAAGGGTAAAAATAAATCTCTTTGTTTTGGTAAATACTTTTTTTTTTAAAAAAACATATTTGTGATGATATGAATGGAAGGAGAGGCTTTCTAAGGTCTATTGAGGGAAACCGGTATCGAAACTCCTTTTTTTGTTTTTATCAGTAACACAGATGTTTTTACACTGAATGTGGAATTAATACAGGTGAAAAGGTGACAGTTTTGACAAGTCATAGTTTGCGAATTAGGTCGAATATCAATATTTTTGACCATTAACATAAAAGGAGGGTTGACACAACTCTGAATGGTCACCGTTTGGTTGGAAGAAAACTGATACACAAATTGAAGTTTTTAACCATTTTTTTTTAAAGATAATATAGTTTTTTCTAAACTTAAATATGAGATTGGGCCATTATTAACTTTCATAATTTGGAGTGTTTAGGGCCTATTATTGGATTAATTATTTTAGGATGTGGGCCGGCCGTACTAAAATTGATTCAAATTATGGGAAAATGAGCACGTTTTTCAGTGTAAGTAGTGTTATCTTTTTGATAGTATAGTTTCTGTTTTAGTTTTGTCTTGTATTTATTATTTTGATTGGTACAATTAACTACAAAGATCCCCTTAGGGAACGAATCAATGATGATTCCATTGGAATTATTTTGCAGTACGTCAGTGTGATCAGAGATGCAATCCTTCCTAACTAATATTTCTAAATCTTTTGACCATTGTTGAGGTTGTCAGCACCTCTTTTTTGGGGGCTTAAACTGTTTTAATTGAATTGCACTCTGTGAATGATCCGGGCTCCTTCCAGAAAATAAATGATAGGATACTGGTCTTTGATTATGACCTGGAATTTTAACTAGTCAATGTTGTCGGTAGCCTTTTAGGCAACCGATAGTTGGCCTTATGTAAAGAGGGGGGAACTAATAACGTATGGACACATTTATTAACATTTTTTTTCTTTGGGTGAGAGGGCCCATGAGTATTTGTAGGCTTAGGCATCCAAACACTATTATTAACATAAACCTCAACTGGGGGTTTTAACCATGTGACAGGCCTAATTAAAGGGAGGAATGAGACATATGCCCAATAGGTATAATTTTGGGCTGTTGTAGCCACAGGTTTGTTAGGTGAGGAGGTCACTGTTTTTATTTTGGCTTTGTATTCTAGGATTAGTAAATAACAGAAGACAAACATGAGTATAATTAGTAACATTTTTTTTTAGTTAAAGAGTGACCTGTAGTGTTACTTGGCATCTTAGTTTACTATATGTTATTAATGAGGAATGCCACTGGGGTATGTTAATTTATTTCAGCTAAGCAGTTCTTAGAAACTGAGAAGGGGGTGTTCGTTAAAGTAACAGGGCAGAAGAAAGGTGGATTTAAGGTATGAACTTAATAGAGTGTAGCAGGTATAGGTAGTAGGCAAAGTGAGAGAATTAAAAATAAATGAATTATTTGGCTTAGACTTTCTTTATTTTAGTATAATGTATGCGGCCTGTGTTGTTTGTGGAAGTCGTATTGTTGAGGCTGTAGTTCCTGTAGGGTCTTTTTTAGGATGGTTTGATTTTTATTTTCTTTTTTAAATCCTTTGATAAGGATGTAGTCTTCAGGCTGGTACTGGAAATTCTAGGAATGGTGCCTGTGTTAAGAGACTTTTTACAATTTTTAAAGAGCAGGTTACTATTTTAAGAAAAACTTGTGTTTTTGTTAATGTTTAGTTTATAGAAAAACTGGATACCTTTCTAACTTTAGTAAACATGTTTACACCAGAATTTTTTACAATTATCATTTTAAAACTTGTTTAGACCTTTAAAATATAAATTATACAACCGTTTTTGTATAAATTTTTATAAAATTTTTTATGACTTTTACAGACAATTTTTAACATGTCTTTTTATGTTTTTTTTTTTTTTTTTGGGAGGGGGGACGGAGTCTCGCTCTGTCACCCAGGCTGGAGTGCAGTGACCCAGGCTGGAGTACAGTGACACGATCTCGCTCACTGCAAGCTCCGCCTCCTAGGTTCATGCAATTCTCCTGCCTCAGCCTCCCAAGTAACTGGGACTACAGGTGCCTGCCACCATGCCTGGATAATTTTTGGTGTTTTTAGTAGAGACTGGGTTTCACCGTGTTAGCCAGGATGGTCTCCGTCTCCTGACCTTGTGATCCGCCTGCCTCGGCCTCCCAAAGTGCTGGGATTACAGGCGTGAGCCACTGCGCCGGCTTGTCTTTTCATGTTTTATAATTTTTTTACTAAAGGTACATTTTTATAACTTTTTAAGATTTTTAACTTTATTTATTTATTTTTTGATTTTTGTCTTTTTTAGTTTTTTTTTAAACTTTATTATTATTTTTTAAAATGTGTAATAATTAGATGAGTGTTGGTAACAATTGATATATGTACGTATTTTAGTTTTTAAAATTTAGGGATGTGTTTAACATCTGTTTGCCACAACTGATTAGGTTCCAATTCTTTAGTGTTAATACCTGTTGGAGGAGGGGATGTGACTGTGAGCTGGTAATCTGGGCATTGTAGGATAATTTGTTTAGCCAGCCTCTGTGTAAGTTGAAATTATTTAGATAAGTTTCTCCAATTTTGCTGAAAAATTGATGTGATTGGGTGGCTTGGCTTGGTCAATCAGTGATGTCATAACCTGAAGGTCTGCTTGATTATTGCCATAAGCCAATGGGCCAGGCAGAGAAGTGTGGGCTCGAATGTGTGTAATAAAAATAGGATGTGTACCTTGGTCTACTAATTGCTGAAGTTGAAGAAAAAGAGCACACACAGTGGGCTCCAGAGCAAACTTAAGGCTGTAAAAGTTTTTAAATAAATAAACAGAATAACCTTAGTTCTCTGAATGTTAGTAAATTCAGATCAAGTGATTGGATTATGTGGTTTTCCACCAGACTGTTGCTTTTTCATGTTTACCAGACCCACCAGTAAAAACAGCTATGGCTCCTTCCAAAGGGGCATCACAAGTAATTTTTGGAAGAATCCATGTAGTTAATTTTGAGAACTGGAAAGTGTTATTTTTGTGATAATGATTATTAATACAGCCAACAAATTTTGTTAAATTATCATGTAACTGAGTTAATAAATGCCTGTTTAACCTGATTTTTATTTATTGGAACAATAGTCTTATTGGGCTCAGTGCCACAAAGTTTAATAATTCGTATATGAGCCTGTCCAATTAGAATTGCCATCTGATTTAAGTATACTGTAAGTGCTTTTATGGTATTATTTGGCAAAAAGGACCATTTAACTAAATCATCATTTTGAACAATAACCCCCGTTGGGGAGTGTGAAGTAGGGAACACAATGAATTGTAAAGGCAAGTCTGAGACAATCCTACTGACCTGGGCTTGCTGAATTTTTTTTTCAATTACTTATAACTCTTTCATGGCCTTGGGTGTTAGTTCTCTTTTACTGTATAAGTTGGAATCTCTTCTCAATATTGAGAAAAGATTAGACATAGCATAAGTAGGAATTTTAACAATTAAGTGGGCCAAATCCAATTAATATCTTCTAACAATTTTTGAAATTTATTTAAGGTTTTGAAAGGATCCCTTCTAATTTGAACCTTTTGAAGCTTCATAGCTCTATCCTGTACTTGTATTTTCAAATACTAAAAAGGAGTGGTTATTTGAATTTTGTCAGGTGCTGTAAGTAATTCAGCATTTGTAATTTTTTACAAAGATGAATAACATTGAATAAGTTGGTCTGTATTTTTTGCTGCACAAATCTGGAAATTGATCTCTAACAGGCTGGATAGTTCTGCCTACAAAAGTTTGACAAATTTTGGGACTGTTTAACATACCCTGGGGCAAAACTTTCCAACAATATTTGGCTGCAGGTTTTTTGTTATTAATGGCAGGGATGGTAAAGGCAAATTTTTTGAAATCTGCCTCTGCTAAAGGAATTGTTAAAAAGCAGTCTTTTAAATCTATAATAACAAGTGGCCAGTCTTTAGGGAGCATAGTAGGGGATGGGAGCCAGGGTTGTAAAGCTCCCATCGGTTCAATTACAGCGTTGACTGTTGGCAAGTCGGTCAGCATGCGCCATCTACCGGACTTTTTCTTAATTACAAATACTGGGGAATTCCAAGGAGAGAAAGTGGGTGAAATATATCCTTTTTAAAAGTAGTTTAACTATTTTATAAAGCACCCCCAACTTTTCCTTAGGAAGAGGCCACTGTTCGACCCAAACGGGCGCTGGGTCATCCATTTTAAGGGAAATTGGTCCTTCACCGTAATGAACTGCAGGGCAAACCTGAATTGCCCCGTTCCATAATGAACTGTGGGGTTGGGCAATAATGGGATAGGTGAGCTGAGTCTTGGTGAGCTGAGTCTCGGGCTCCCTCCCCGTGCACTCACTTGGCTGAGGAGGAGGTGGCCATTCTGGACATTCCTTTAGAGGAACCATGGGCTGAACAATTTTTTGAGCAGGTTTAGGGAGACTGGGGAAATTGGCATAAATCACCTTCAGACTCTCCTTTTTGTTAGTACTAGGTAGAGGTGGTTCAGAGTTCTGATTATCAAACTCCTCTCTCTCCTCCTCTGACTCAGCCTAATTTTCTTTCTGAAAAGGCTACAGTGCTGCACACACCAATGACCAAACTGACTAAACAGACAAAGGAATTTCCTTTCCTTCACTATATGCTCTTTTAAGGTCCTTTCCAACTCTTTTTTAATTTTTTAATTTTGAAGTTTTCTGTTTCGCGAACCAAGGGCAAAATTGTTCCATAGCATGAAACAAATCCATAAGATTTTCTATATCAACTTTTACCCCACCACACTTCAAGAGCTGCCGTAGCAAGCTCAAATACGTGATGTACTTACTTGCAGTTTTTTGCATTGTGTCCCTAGCTTTCTCTGGTTGTCCTGATTACCTGTAGAGGTTAAAACTTTTATGTCCTTGGGAGTCCTTTGTTCATTGGTCCTCTGTTTCACACGCTTGAGCGTTTCTTCACCGAATTCTTTTGGGCCCCACATTGGGCGCCACAATGTTGGGGACCAGCCTCAACACCATCCATAGGGTACCTGAAGTCCAGTGGTGACAAAGGAATGAGAAGAGACAGGTTAAGAGTTCATAAAGAGTAGGGGCCGGGGGCCAATTGCAAAATGGAGACTGCAAAAGGCTCAGAGCTCTGGTCTCCACACTATTTATTGAGTACAATCACTTATATCTAAGAAGAAGATGTACAGGGCAAAACAGTGAAAGGATAGCAGTGCCTCACAGGCATAATCTATGACAATAGCAGTTTAAATTAATCTCCTTTATGCTCAAACAGCATATCTTTAACTTATCGGAGAGTAGCTAGTGGCAGCGGGCCTAACTAGGAGCCTGCACATCTGTCCATATTCCAATGCTTCAAAGGAGGGTCTTTCTCCTTGAACACAGTATTTACAGATAAGAGAGTGAGTCTCACTCTGAGCATGGCAATTAGGAGACTTTTCTCCTCAGAGGCCTCTTGTGGCTTTCTACAACTTATTCTCCCATATTCTTATGGCCAGTTTATACAGATGCCCCACAAGTCCTTTTCCTAACACAGACAGGAATATGGCGGCTTGCGCCCTGGGAACTCACTGTCTTGTGGGAGGGAACCACTCAAGCCACTCACCATTTATCCTCCTGTACCTCTCTTCTTGGGCTCTGTCCCCAACCTCTCTCTGTCCTTTGTCTTGCAGGTGGGGAGATGGAGGAGGCAGAGCTCACATCCTGGTCTTTTGTGTCATCTCCCTTCTCCTTGGATCTTAGCAAGACCAAGCGACACCTTGTGCCTGGGGCCCCCTTCCTGCTGCAGGTTTCTTCTAGAGGGGAAGGATGAGTAGGGAGGGGGTGATAGTTAGGAGGGCTCAGGGTCTGACAACTCTCTTTTGCCTGCCCTCCTTTACCTGCCTAGGCCTTGGTCCGTGAGATGTCAGGCTCCCCAGCTTCTGGCATTCCTGTCAAAGTTTCTGCCACAGTGTCTTCTCCTGGGTCTGTTCCTGAAGTCCAGAACATTCAACAAAACACAGATGGGAGCGGCCAAGTCAGCATTCCAATCTTTATCCCTCAGACCATCTCAGAGCTGCAGCTCTCGGTAGGACTCCTCGGACCCCTGGGAGTTGGTGGGGAAAGGGGAGGAGGGTGAGCTGGGGTTCCGAGGATCCATGGCTTGATTTGGGGGGAAAGTGGGGTGCCTGGCTCTGAGCTGCTACCCTATTTGCACCTGCCCCTCTCTCCAGGTATCTACAGGCTCCCCCTATCCAGCCATAGCCAGGCTCACTGTGGCAGCCCCACCTTCAGGAGGCCCCGGGTTTCTGTCTATTGAGCGGCCGGATTCTCGACCTCCTCGTGTTGGGGACACTCTGAACCTGAACTTGCGAGCCGTGGGCAGTGGGGCCACCTTTTCTCATTACTACTACATGGTGTGCATGAGCTGGGGAGTCGAGGACTGGGGTGCACGGAAGAACACTCTGTGTGGGACTGGGAGGTTCAAGGCTGGGGCTGTCCCATGAAGAGGCAACCACTCTTGTCCCTCCCCTTCTTGGCCCAGATCCTATCCCGAGGGCAGATCGTGTTCATGAATCGAGAGCCCAAGAGGACTGTGACCTCGGTCTCCGTGTTTGTGGACCATCACCTGGCACCCTCCTTCTACTTTGTGGCCTTCTACTACCATGGAGACCGCCCAGTGGCCAACTCCCTGCGAGTGGATGTCCAGGCTGGGGCCTGCGAGGGCAAGGTGACTGGGATCAGGCGAGATGGCACTTGTGCTGAGGGGGTTGAGGACGGGGTGATTGCCAACAGGGCATGGATTTAGCTTAGGGGGCAGTGACGATACTGGGACTGAAGGAAGCTCTCTCACTCTGACCACCCCCACCTTCGGCCCCTGCCAGCTGGAGCTCAGCGTGGACGGTGCCAAGGAATACCGGAACGGGGAGTCCATGAAGCTCCACTTAGAAACTGACTCCCCAGCCCTGGTGGCGCTGGGAGCCTTGGACACAGCTCTGTATGCTGCAGGCAGCAAGTCCCACAAGCCCCTCAACATGGGCAAGGTTTGTCCAGACCCTCTCCCCAGCCCTCCCACCCCTCCACGGCTCATCCCCCTGCTGTCCTGAGCCCTGGGCGCAGCCCCTGGATCCCACTGGGGCTCCCCACAGACTCTTCCCCACTTGGCCCTGTGGTCTCCATCTCCTCGCTCTGTATCCTTTCCTATCCCTCCATGCGCTGCCCTCTCACCTGTGCCAAGTGCTCGGTCCTGCCCCATCAGCCATGCTTGGCTCCGAGCATTCCTGCCTCTTCTTGCAGGTCTTTGAAGTTATGAACAGCTATGATCTCGGCTGTGGTCCTGGGGGTGGGGACAGTGCCCTTCAGGTGTTCCAGGCAGCGGGCCTAGCCTTTTCTGATGGAGAACAATGGACCTTCTCCAGAAAGAGTGAGAACAGAGAAGGAAGGGGAGTGGGTGGCAGGAAGATAAGGAAGGAGGAAGGGCCTGAGGGGGCCAGGTAGGAAGAGTCGGGGCGGGAAGGGCTGGGCAGGGGAAGGCGGGGAGGGGAGGAGGCCGAGTGCCTGATGGCTGGACTGCAGCCTTGCTCTCTACCAGGACTGGGCTGTCCCAAGGAGAAGACAACCCGGAAAAAGAGAAACATAAACTTCCAAAAGGCGATTAATGAGAAATGTGAGTTGTGGGTGCCTAGGCAGCAGCTTGGGCTCTCCATGTGGGATCAAGGTTGGGGGTCTGCCTCTCTGCCCCTCACCTCCATGCTGAACCAATGTGTGGTATTTGGGGCCAGAGATCCGAATTCCGGGATTACAAGTGGAAGGGTGGGCAGCTCTCTCCACCAGCCTCTCTTATGTTGCTGGTCTCAAGGGGTCTGGGCGGGGGCTGAGGTGTATGTCCTTTTTGTCCTCTCGTGCTCACCCCTACCTGGCCCTGCAGTGGGTCAGTATGCTTCCCCAACAGCCAAGCGCTGCTGCCAGGATGGGGTGACACGTCTGCCCATGAGGCGTTCCTGTGAGCAGCGGGCAGCCCGAGTGCAGCAGCCGGACTGCCGGGAGCCCTTCCTGTCCTGCTGCCAATTTGCTGAGAGTCTGCGCAAGAAGAACAGGACCAGAGGCCAGGTGGGCCTCCAACGAGGTGAGGGGCTGGGTGGGGCTAGGGCACAGGTGGCGCTGCTTGGAAAGGCAGAACGGCCCCCTCCTCACTCCCATCCACCGTGGTCCCCCAGCCCTGGAGATCCTGCAGGAGGAGGACCTGATTGATGAGGATGACATTCCCGTGCGCAGCTTCTTCCCAGAGAACTGGCTCTGGAGAGTGGAAACAGTGGACCGCTTTCAAATGTGAGAGTGTTTGCCGGCCCAGCCTTGTCTCTGCGCTGTGTGTGGGGGCCAGCCCAGGGTATGACGGAGCTTCTCTGCCTTTCCCTACACAGATTGACACTGTGGCTCCCCGACTCTCTGACCACGTGGGAGATCCACGGCCTGAGCCTGTCCAAAACCAAAGGTGAGGTGACCCTCCCTGTTCCCTTTGCTCTTAGTGTAGGAAGAGGGTCCGGTGCAGCTGGCGTGGGCCAGAGGCTGTCTCTTATACACATCTTAGTGTAGGAAGAGGGTCCGGTGCAGCTGGCGTGGGCCAGAGGGCAGAGGCAGACTGAGACAGAGCTGGGTCACCCCACCCCGCCCCTCCCTCCTGTGGCCCTGAAGCTTTGATAGCCCCTCTGATCTCTACCCTTCCACCCACACTTCCCTTCCCTCAGGCCTATGTGTGGCCACCCCAGTCCAGCTGCGAGTGTTCCGCGAGTTCCACCTGCACCTCCGCCTGCCCATGTCTGTCCGCCGCTTTGAGCAGCTGGAGCTGCGGCCTGTCCTCTATAACTACTTGGATAGAAACCTGACTGTGAGGTCCCGAGGGAGCCTGAGCATACCGGGGTTGGGGGAGCCAGGGTCCAGTGAGGGGTGGGGAGCCTAACCGGGCCGGGACCCTGGCCGTCCTCGTTTTCATGCCCTCAGGTGAGCGTCCACGTGTCCCCAGTGGAGGGACTGTGCCTGGCTGGGGGCGGAGGGCTGGCCCAGCAGGTGCTGGTGCCTGCGGGCTCTGCCCGGCCTGTCGCCTTCTCTGTGGTGCCCACAGCAGCCGCCGCTGTGTCCCTGAAGGTGGTGGCTCGAGGGTCCTTCGAATTCCCTGTGGGAGATGCCGTGTCTAAGGTTCTGCAGATTGAGGTGAATGGAGCACCCCTGAATACAAGTCCCCGGGCCCCCAGCTTTGTCCTCCACCCTCAGCACTGTCTCTGCTGGCCAGGCCAGGGGCCCAACACCCAAATCAATGCCTTGATATAGTCACATCTTCTACAATTCTGATCCAACTCTGTCCCTGGAGTTGAAACTCAAAGTCCTGGGGGAGTGTGCACTGGCAGGGCAGGCTGTAGTCCTGTGTGACCCCACAACCATGTTTTCCCTGAGACAGAAGGAAGGGGCCATCCATACAGAGGAGCTGGTCTATGAACTCAACCCCCTGGGTGAGTGGCCCTCTACCTCCAGCCATC